TAAAGTTTATGTATCCAAGAATTAGTATGAAAATTATAATTACCCCTACGATAAAATCCACCACATCTACATAGTTTCATTGGCATATTATATTATATTAAATTAGACTATCTTTATTCATCATTCGTAATTTGAAATGCCTGTTCAAATCTGATATGAAACATTTTGATAATGTCTTTAGCATTCATATTCACGTAGAAGAAACTATAAGGTGCGTCATTAACGGCTTGATGATACATATCTAATAATTGCTGTTTATCAACAATGGCGCTATTTTCTTCAATAAAACTCATTAATTCACTGGCATTTTTCAACCTAAAAATATATAATGAACTGGCATTTAAACGAATGATAGGCGCCAACACATTATATTTCTGTGTTGAACAAATTACACTTACTGCATCGTGCCTGCCTCTTGTAAATAATCCATGTAATAATTTACTATATCTAACAAATTTAGGGTCGTCGGCGTGGTCATCTATAACGATTAATATTGAGTGCAGTTTCTTTATCTTTTTAGATTTCATATAGTTAATAATTTTCTTCTGTCTTTCGATTACATTTTCTAAATCACTTGGATTATAATTATCAAAATAAATTTGTTCTTTTTCATCATCTACATGTAGTTCATCCCTAATATATTTCTTTACTTCTGTAAAAGTTGGGTCATTATGAACGCTGGGGGAAAATATAAATATTCTTGCAAATGAATTTCTATAAACATTTAAGATAAGGTTCTGAACCAAGACCGTTTTGCCGCCTGTCGAACTCGCAACTATAATACTTCTAAATGGTAGTTTTGGCACGTGCTCATATTTAGATTGTTTGAATTCATAATCAGTTATGTTTATTGGTTTTATTATTGGGACATCTGTCATAGTTGATATTAAAGAAATATAGAAAATTATATTTAAAAATTAACTTGTAATTAATATTAAATGGAACATCATTTTTATGATATGCTGGTGGCGAATATCATAAAATGGAACAGGTTTTCCATTGCTTCAATCAATAAGCATTGAAGATAATTAGTTTGAAGAATTGCAATGAAAACTCCAAGTGCTGTGCCCCATCAATATTCTATTATGCATGAAATAATAAGATTAATTAGAATAATTTATCTTATTATTTAATATGCAAAGGAGTTATACAGATTATATTAATATAATAGATGAAGTAGAAAATATAGAACAAGTAATAATTACTGACAATAAATGTAAGAAAGTATGCTATTTTGTTTTAGAAATAATTAAGTTAGGAATTCAATATATCAAAAATAAAAATGTAAATATTAATATAAATGCCTCCAAAGAAGAAGCAAGAGAAACAAAAAGATATTGAATGTGTCAAATGCGAAAAATGCGGTCAAACAATTAAACCATTAAATGAATTAGAATTAGATAAAGAACATGTTAAAGTTAAATGTTGGCCGTGTTCATGTGGTAGAACCATGCATACAGTACATGCAGTAAAAAAGAAAGATGCCGACGGGAGCACAGTTGAAGAAAGTTGGGTAGAAAACTTCAAAAGTGGATTTGGTAGGTTATTTACACCTGAGAAAGAATGCTGAAATATTAGTATTTAAGGAGTAGATTTAACACCACTTCAAACGCATAAATAAATAAATAAATAAATAATTATATAAATATTTATATATAGAAATGTCAGAAAATGAAAGTTTTACAATTAATGATTGAATGAAAAAGATTATAATTATTAGTAAGAATATTAAAACATTAACTGAACTTATTAAGAATATTGATGAAAAAATAAACCAACCTAAAAGCAATAACGAAGACGATAATGAGAAGATGGATAAAATCTTTCAAAAGAAAGGATTAGGGCGTCCCTCAGGCGACCATGAAACTAAAAGACAATCTTATTTTGAGATGGTGTCCAACGGGCGCATTAAGAACCCAAAAGAACAAACTTTAGAATACTATAAAATCGCGAAAGATGGTGATGAATATAAACTTATGGATTAATATAATAAATATCTAAATCATTCTAATAAATGAATTTATTAGAGATGTTTAGTGGGACAGGCAGTGTTGGACTTATTGCAAAGTCGCTCGGTTTTAATGTAATATCGTTGGAGTTGAAACATGCTGATATTAATTGTGATACACTTGAATGGGATTATAAGCAGTTTGACAGAAATCATTTTCAATTTATTTGGGCATCACCACCTTGCACAGAATACAGTATTGCAAAAAGAACAGGAATAAGAAACATTGAATATGCTAATAGTATTGTATTAAAAACAATAGAGATTATTGAATATTTCAATCCAAAATATTATGTAATTGAAAATCCACAGACTGGATTATTGAAAAGTCAGTCTTTTATGAATGGGTTAAGGTTTAATGACATTGACTATTGCAAATATGGATTTAATTACAGGAAACGAACTAGGTTGTGGAACAATCTAACAAACTGGAAAGCGAGACCATTATGTAAAAAAGACTGTGGTAAAGTTGTTAATAACAAACATATTGAAACTGCGCAACGGGCACCAAGTGGAAAGCGGGAAAATTGGGGCGAGAATTATGTAAAGCATAAGCAAGAAGATTTATACAAAATCCCTGCTGATTTGATTTGTGAAATTTTGGTGAGTTTGGTGGATTAAGGAAAACGAGTTTGGGATTGTGGTTGAAAATTGAAATTTCTAGGTTCATCCAATGACAAAAGAGTAAAACATATTAATTTTAAAATTTTGAAAATAATGAATTTTAAGGGAGTGCGAAACAAGTGGCACAACTCACAAAAGCACTCAAACCATTTTTCCCCTCCCTCACCCAAGTTCAGATTGCATCCGAGCTCAACGCGCACTTGGCGTCAAACCGAAAATCCGAATGACACAAGCATCAGCACGCATGGTTTTTGACTACATGTTTACACTACCAGTCCCTGTTGTACTGGGTTTTAGTCCCTGTTGTACTGGGTTTCTGGCCTTGTTGTGCTGGGTTTTAGTCCCTGTTGTGCTGGGTTTCAATCACTGTTGCGCTGATGCTCATGCGTGCGACAGCATCAGCAAAAACCCAATAAACAAGCAGGGCGCACCATCACCAACTCGTCGTTGGTGTTCCCGAAGCACGGCGCACGGTCGCTCTCTCTGTTTCGTTTTTGTTTGGGGGTTTTGTAACAATCTATTGTATGGTCTGTTGTTTGGTTTTTTGTGTGGTTTGTTGTTTGGTGTTTTTTTTTTCTATGAGGGTCTTACCCCAGAGCAAAAATATTATTTGTGTCTAAAACTATTTAAAGGGATGTGGGTAATACAAAATAGAGGTTATGGAAAAGAAATATTGCTCAGGATGTCGGAGAGATAGAAATGTGGATTGTTTCATTGATAATTATAAGAATTGTGAAAGATGCCATGAGAAAGGAAAAAGGAAGAGCAAGGTTAATTATCATTGTGATGTGTGTAATTGTGATATTAGGAAAATGAATAAAGCGAGACACGAATTAACTTACAGGCACGAGGAAAATTTAAGAAAGAATGAGGTTAAGGAACATTGAGTTGGTTTAAGTTATTTATCAAAAATGAATAACTTAAAACAATTGCTGGGTGGATTGATTTTTACAGGATTTATGCCAAACATATTTGGTTGGTTTTGGGCGGTGCTTTTAAATGGCGTGAAAACCATAGGGTGGAGTATGGACAATTTTGCTTGTTGGTAAGCTCCTTCTGGCCCCCCCCCCCTCAAAACCTGATTGACCTGCACTTGAAACCAGAAGTCACCGGAGGGACTCTGCTACCGACCCGGGGACCCAAGGGTAAATTGGGTATCTGACGGTCTGACCACCTTTGATCGAAAGGATTTGCCCCGCAAAAAAAAAGAGAGGAATGGTCACGGTAACGCTTGAGTGATTGAGAGCTTACGAGGCTCAATGCTGAGTACGGCCTTGTCCTCAATGGAACTTCTGACAAGTGCCCGCAACCAGATCAGACGAAGCAAGTTGGAACTCCAGCTTTCAATTGGAATCCAACGCGCTTCTTTCAGCACCGAGAAATCGAAGAGCACGAGGGAGCTGTGGAAAATACGCTCGGTTCAGAAGAAACGCCCAATCCAGATCAAGATACCGTTGCCACCGGCTGGTGACATCGCTTGCACAAACCTCTAAACATGCCTGGAATGTTCCTCTGGTTTCCCTTCAACCACACTCCCAACGGGGCGAATCTCCAATATCCAATGCGCATTGAGGCAGAGTGAGGGTAGGGCATGAGGCGAATGCTGCAATGGGCAATTGAAAAATATGGCTCGCCCCGTGTTTTTTTTTTGTGGGAGACTCGTTTCTCCCAAATTCACCACCATGGACTGTTGACAAATTTGGACAGGAACCCAATGTGGCACTGCTTCTGTTGCGAACCACTGGTGCGAAGCCCATCATCTGCAGGTGCAGGCGACTTTACTAACCGTTCCCCAAACAGTTGGACGTGTCTTTGGAAGTAGCAAATTCGACTTTTCCCCGTGCTTTGTTTCATATGAAAGCGCGGCAAGTTATGTTATTTCAGCTTGCTGTTGCGGACAGCAGCAAATTATTAGTTCGCTTGTGCTTTGGGCTCTGGTTCAGGCCGGACTGCGAATTGCGTGCACATTCACAGGTTGGAAGTTTGTTCAAGCAAAGAATCCGCTTTCAAAAGGACATGAACACAGGGGTAACGCCTTCAACAGTTAGACAATTCTCACCCCACGTTGAACCCGACGATCCTCGGATCCGATCCTTCCTCTCCCTGTTCCCCTCTCTCCGAGCAACCCCTCCCTTGGTGTAACCAACGCCCCAATTTTTGAGTTGGAAAATGGCTGCAACCAAGAAATACGGAAGTTATGGGAGGGCACAACCGTAAAAAACTCCGCCCCGCCAGATTCTGATGCAAATTCCATCTGTGCAAGAAGCAAAAAGGAGCTCAGGGGAGGGGTACCCCCCCCCCCCTCCCCATTTTGATGCAAATATTTCGATGAAAATCCCGTCTCGCGACTCGGCGACTCGCAAGGAGCAAAGAGCGGAAGGCTTTGGCGAAGCTCCGCCTCGAGGGCACGTAGTCAGCAGGCAACTGGTTCCTTGGACTCGTCCAAGCGGAGCGAGCGGTAGGTAGCTCACGAAACCAAGGGCTGCCATCTTTCAAGAAAGCTGACTGGTGTTCCTGGAAAAGCATTTATTCCTTGGGCTGCGGATCCTGTCCAACCGCTAAGCGGGGACAAGCACCGGCATTGTAAAATCAACCCCTGACAGTTGCACCTGGCGACCCTGGAAGAAGAAGGGAAACAATGCTGTTGTTGTGATGTTGATTTTTTTGGGGGAGGGTGTGGAAAACTCACCAAAACGAAAGAGGGTTTCAGAGGGCGCTACAGATCAGCTGGCTGATGCCGGCTGCATCCACACAAGGCGCGCTGGGAAGTCCCTTAAGTGGGCTGTAACAAGGCTTAGGCGAGCGACCGGTCGCCCCTTCAAGCTCTGCTCCCAGGGAAAACAAGTAAAAGCAGTTGCACACCGGTTCAACTACACATGTTGCGCGTCAAATTGAGGGCCTTCTTCTTGGTCAACATCCACTTGGGATAGTTATGGTTTGCCACTGCCCATTCTGGCACAGGGTTGCCTCTCACATGCGCATCCGACCCAGCCATAGGTCACCACGCTGGACTCCCTTTTTGGTGAGGCACCGATTTTGCTTTGTGTTTCTTGAGCAACACCTATGTCAGTAAATCACAGAGGAAACAAATAACAAGAACTGGCGGTTACCTAGTGATCAATTGGGAGCCTCACAGTACAACGCGGAGCGAAAACAACAAGCAATTATCTACCTGTGTAGGGTACTGGTCTCAGGAATTTTCACCCAACACAAGCATATTATATTTTCAGGGAAGCATAGACCTTGTTGCTGGCAGATCTTAGAAGCGCCGAAGGGTGCAAAGGACGACTGCCACTTGGGAACTTCTTTGCAAAATCCAGCCACTTGGGGTCATTAATGACATCACATGATTGTGGAACATGACCCTTTGTGTGGTACCAAAGTGGCAATCCCGTCCCACGTAGCTCAGGATAATTCCATGTTGGCTCACTGAAAGTGGCAACCTGAAACCAACTGAACTTTCCACTAATGATGAGAGTTAGGACCAGTTATAGAATGTATACTTTATTGTTTGCTTCACTTTGAGTCACTTGTAAAAAATGTGAAACGTATCCTAAGTCTACCCCAGTACGCACCAACCGTTGCGTTCTCGCGTCTAGGTTGGAAGATGTTCGCTGAAGAATCCCTGGTTGGCGCTCTGAAAGGAAGCTGAAAAAGTGCCATGCTCACAAACCCGTCGAGATCCAAGATGGATCCCTTGCATGTTAAAGCCACTATTTTTCACACACTCTCCTTGTGGTTTCCCCTCAAGTGGAACCCAAAATGGTTGCTTCAACAGACATGTGCCACACTCCCCGGATCCAGGAACCGAACAAATATTGTGGCTGCTAAACATCGTGCTTGCCCGTCCAACTCAAAGAGTTTGGAGGAAAGGAACCCAAACGCAAACGCCTTTGTCAGATCTGAGCTTCAAGGACCGGTACACCGCGACCATGCCTCGCGAAACGTTTTTGGATGCGGCGCAAAGTTGTGGCCCATCTCGGAAAAACCACGGTTTGTGCCGGGGAGGGAGGGGGGTGCTTTTAAAGGGGAACCGAAACGAAAACCAAAAGAAGGGAAATCAAAGGCAACCACCAAGATATCGTGCAAATTCACCATTTGGAGACAATCCCATTCACTAAATTGAAGTAAGGAGCCTTCAAGGAAGCTCGTCATCAGTGCAACGATTAGAGTGAGGCCTTGTTGTAGAGTCTATAAATTCTGGTCAAAACAGTCGGCATGGTCGGGACGATGGGACAAGCAAATCCAAGCGAAACGGACACAGTCCCTTTAGCAAAATTCCCGTGCCCTGAGGTGGGTCAGGGTGGGTTCAGGGTTGGTTTAGGGTGGGTTTAGGTTGGGTGTGGGTTTAGGGTGGGTTTAGGGTGGGTTTAGGGTGGGTTTAGGATGGGTTTAGGATGGGTTAGGGTGGGTTTGCCCCACGTATCACCAGAAAACTTGAATGTGTTTCCTAGCTCTACCAACATGAAAGGGTTGCTAGGTGATTTTTTCGCCCGAAGGACTGCCCCGCCGAAGGCAAAATCTCGGCAACGAACTCGCTGATGCGGACAGCAGCAAGTCTGATGACTCCACACAGAGCACGCTCCGCAGCTCCCCATCGTCCAGCGCCCACATCCAATATGCTCAAACCGCTCATAGCCGTGATCCACTCAAAAGTGCCTGGAGCAAGGCTAGCGCTTGTCCGCTGGTTCTTGCGGGGAAAAAATCGGGAGCCCATCTTGTTTTTGGCAATGACTTGTTCGGGGCGAACTTTTCCAAAATATTTAGTGATTGGGAGTTTCATGTTTCATGGTCGCAATCTATACTTTGTGGTTGAGAAATCAGTTTTCGGGGTTAGGAGTGCTACTCGCCGAAATCCGTGATGGGGGTCCTGCAACTTTGCTGTTTCATATTTAGTCTACCCTAAAATATGAAGCAATTCTGGAGGAAACCCAAGTACCCGTTCGGTGCTTTCTCCATCCCAGCCGCGAGCCTTGGTTCCCGGCGGCAGCAGCCAGCTCCATCATTGCATCGTTGCCTCGGGGCGGACGAAAAGCCGGGCGAGTAATAGCTAGTTAGCATAGCAAAGCAATGGGTACAGCTAGCACACAAACTGGCTGGTGCATGGAAACCTCCTGGGCTGGCGATCTGTTTGCGATGGTTGTTTCGGGGTAAAACAGATACGAGTTTCCTGCGCATTTGCTGATTCATCCGGCAAAACCAGTGGGGTACAGTTCGCAGATGAACCGGGGGATTTGAACCAAATGGGTGGGAAATCCACAAATCGAGCAGGATTTTTCCCCAACAGCTAAAAGCTTTGGGGTCTCAGCCCAGATGGGCTCCGGGGTGGTCCGGGGCGGCCCTGAGGTAAGGTTCCACGAGGGTTCCACGAGGGTTCCATCAGGGTTCCACGAGGGTTCCACGAGGTTCTGCGAGGGCTGCGGGGTGGTGCGAGCACAAAAAAGAGCACCGTATGCTGTTGGGGATATCACAAGCGCCTATTCGGAGCTCCTGCACAGACTTCTTGGGCGCTACTCAAGTCATAGCAACAAGCGTAGGCAAAACACCCAAGGTAGCACCCAAGGAGTAGCACCCAAGAAGTTTTACCTTACTCTCGTGCTAAGCTTCTTGGGTGCTAATCTCGCAGACTTCTTGGGTGTAAGGTAAAACGCGCCGAATGTTGGTACTGGATTAGCGACGTGGACCGGAATAAAAGTAACATAGTTCTTCTTCTGGTATTGTTTGAGTGGACCAAAATAGAGTCCACTTATTCCCCCCAGAGAAAAAACAAAATAAAACTGACAGGTGTTTCAATCACGTGTGTCTGTTTGATGATTTTGTCTGATATTTAGTGCAAGGCATACCCACATTTCTTTACCGAACATGGCGTGACATGGTGTGGGCAAAACTGCATCCCGCCGCCTATTAGTGGTAGTATTGAAAAAACAAACTCAGGTGATATCCCCAACCGCATGCGGTGCTCTTTGTAATGCTCGCACCACCCCACAAACCTCGCAGCACCTTTTTGAACTTTCGTGGAACTCTGGTGGAACTTTACCTCAGGGCCGCCCGGACCAAAGCTTCCAGCTGTTGGGGAAAAAGAAGGGTAACGATTGTGTCCAGATCGCCTCTGTGGCGACAAAAAACATGACAGTGACGCCAGCCAAAAAAGGAAAACAAAAGCACACTACTAAGCACTGCCCAGCAAGGGCGGGGGTAGTTCTTCTCACTGAATTGGAGCCAAGCACCGCCGGTTCAGGTCTAATTAGACACGACATCAGCCCTTAAACCAATGCAAAATCCAGCTAGTAAAAACGTAACAATCGTTTGCAACCAGAAACTGTCTCACTTACTTATAGGGGATGTCAAAAAATAGCCGCCAACCCCCCTTTTGTTTTGGATGGCGACACAAGGAACTCGTAACAAAACCAGCCCATTTAGGGCTCCACGGTTTTGGGCAACATCCGTACAGTATGGTTTATATGATGGCCACCGAGATATCCGATCCACCCGACACCTTCCAAGTCATACTTCCACCGATTTCGAGTGAACAGGGGGGCAAAGGCCCTCAGTGTGGTCTGATTGCGGCTCTTAGAAGCTCACTTGATACTTGAGTTAAGTGGCTAGAAAACCTTTAAACCTAATCTTGGGATTAGATAATGCATCGACCTAGCAACACAAGAACATAATATTTGAAACCTGAACAAGTGAGTTGGCAAATTTCCCAAACCTCTAGTGGAAACGGGAAGGACAAACACAATGATTCGTGGTAGTTCACTTCAATGGGGACTTCAATGTTAGAAATATCAATATTCTTGGAGGTCTGTGACTTCTAGAACCACCAACAGGGTCTGTTAAGCTGACATCTTCGAGATGTCCCAAGGGACACCAAAAGGACATCGATGCAATGGTTTCAACATTGAAAGGTTGACTTCCCCCAACCCCATAACCCTCCCGCCCCCCACCCGAGAAACCGGTGCCAAACAACTGAACCCTACCCTTTTGGCTTTGTCTCAAACAACCTCACACCCCTTCCAAAGTTGATTTGCCCAAATATACTTGATGGACGTTGTTCACCTAACTCGGACTACACCACCCCAAAAGCAACTCCCCCCCCCCAAACAAGAAACTAAAGAGGCGTAGTTTTACCACCCAGCCACCCACACTCCCGCTGCCCACCCAAAAAACAAACAAAGGCCGGTTTTAACTCCCCGCCACCCACCACTGCCCACCCAAAACACAACCACAAAGAAACCAGATAGCGGTGTTGGGTTGTTTCCGCTTAAAGCACGGCGCTACACGACTCTTGGGTGCACCCACCGTTGAGGGTCCCTAGTAGAATTGTCTAACACCTTTATATATATATATATATAAGGGTCGTAATGATCAGACTGGTGTTGTGGGATACCATGAAACCAATTGTGTGCCAAAAACAACATAAATATATACACGTATACATATTATATATGTATATATAAAACACATAATAGTATACATATATGGTCCCGTGTTCCGTGTTGCTACCCCCCCCCCCACACCCCCCCCATATGGTATGGGTCCCCCAGGACCCCCCCCTCCCCCCTGTGTTCTGTTTTTCAGACCATTGATCTCCCGCAACATTTGGCTCAAGGGCCCCTTTTGCAGAATCACGACCATCCGAGCGTGAAGACAAAAGAGCCATTGCAGGCCGCTTACAGGATTATCCACAAGACAATCCACCAAGGACAATCCATCCTCCAATCATCCATTACTGGCATATTGGACTCTCTCCGGAATAGATCCAGGGACCAACAACGACCTCAACTACCACAGGGTTCCAGTTCCCTCCGGGGATAGGCACCTGGGGCAGTGGGCCTCAATTCGTGGTAGCGGAGTGGGTTTTCCACAGAGATCCAAGGGAAGATGTCATCCGATGGAGAAGGCTTCATGGAAGCCTATTCAAGTATGGCCAAAAATCCAGGGTATACGGAGGAAACACTAAATTTATCGATGACCGCCAAGCAGCCGCCATCGTACGACGGAAAAGTCAGCTGGTTCAGGTATGAAGAACTCGTGGACGACTGGGTGACCATCACGACGGTGGAAGCACCAAAGAGAGGACCTCTCCTAAAGAGCAGACTCACAGGAGATGCATATATGTACAAGGCAGTCCTCCAAAATGACCTTTTGCAAGATCCTGATGAAGGAGTCAACTATTTCAAGAACACGCTGAAGAAGCACTTTTTGAAAGGTGCGACCAACGTGTATCTGTACAGACTCCTCAGTTTCTTCAACCATAGAAGGCAGAACCAAGAGTTCCTCATTTTTACCTCAAAATTCGAAATCCTTCTCATGAGATTGAAGGCAGCATGGATGGACTTGATGCCCGTTTTCACGGCACAGTCCCCATCATTTCGACAGTCCGTACAGGACGCAAATGCAAGAACAATTGCTCGACATCAGCAAGCAGCCGGTGTTCGAGCACCGCCTCCAGCCCTGCTCAATGAGGACGATCCTACAGTCCTCAGACAGTATATCCAAGGAATGCAGGACAGACAGCGGGACGCATTTCCCTTCGGGGATAATCTCATTGCACAGTTTTTCATCATTCAAAGTGAGTTGTCAGATCAACAAAGAGAAAGACTCACAAGTGCAATGTCATTGAGAAACATCTCACTCGAGAATTATTCCTATGAGATGCTGAAGACGCATTACCATGAACTCTTCATCACGACGAGGACATCGATCCAAGATCCATCCATCCGACCTCAAGGAGGCAACCGAAGCAACACATTCTTCATCATCGAACAAGGTGAATACGAAGGAGAAGAAGGCTTCTGGGTTGAGGATGAAGAAGGACTTGAAGGATTCATGTCAAACAACGATGAAGAGACGTTCTGGGTCCTCGAGGAGAACGATGCGTTCATAGCAAGAAAAGTGTCGGGGCGGAACTTCAAGTTCAAGAAGAGAAAAGGAAAAGGAAAATCAGGAAACAAAAAGGGCAGTCACCAACGAGGTGGCTTCAAACCCTTCAGAAAAAGCGGTTCTGGCGGAAAGGCCAATATGGCCAACGAAAACTATGATCCCTACGACCAGGCATATTGGGGAAAAGGCAAAGGAAAGAAGGGAAAGAAAGGAAAATCAAAATTCCAATATCCCTATGATGGAAACAAAGGTTATCCATCCTATGAGAGTGGTAAAGGAAAGAGCGGACAGGAGAAAGGAAAATCCAAGACGTTCGCAGCCACCGCAGACAAGACGGAGGAGCAGCCCGCCATCCAGCAGACTGCACCATCCATAGAGCCTACCTATGCCGGTTGGACAGACCAAGATTGGGATCAATCATCATGGGCATGGAATGAACATGGATGAGACATCCAGCACAGGACAAGCGTTAATGGCATTCCATGATGCATATGAGTATCCTGGGAAAAAGGCCATCCACGAGAAGCTGATCCAATCAGATACAGTTTCAGAACACAATCTGTCCGTCACAACAAATCACAGCCTTTTGGCAACAAAGCTGATGGCGCCTGTCATCAACCCTCAGCACAACCCGACCTATGCGATTCTGGACAATGGATGTACCAGATCTATGGGCAGCTGGCATGCAATCCAGCGTTTTACCCAGGCAATCGAACCAATGAAGGACATCATCTCCTATGAGTACATCCCGGCCGAGACCAAGTTCACTTTTGCAAACGGAGAGACCGCCAGGGTAAATTGGACCCTGCATCTTCGATATCACACAACTCCTCCGTGCAGTACCAACATCGACGTCCTTGAACAAGGAACTGTACCGATCCTTCTCAGCATCAGCCAGATGCGGAACCTCTACATGACCATCGAGCACACACCTCAATGTGACAAGATCACATGCAAGGCCTTTGGCATGAACCGTCAAGCAGTTCCAGTATCCGGTACAGGACATGCACTCGTCGATCTCGCTGGAGTTGCAAGAGTGAAGGCGCATGGAGAAATTGCTCACAAGGGCCTCATCAACTATGTCTATGACGATGATAACAGCATCAAGTTTCCCTCCGGGGATCTCACCAAGAG